GTGTGTGTGTGTGTGTCTGTATATGCCCGTATACATATAGACATCATACAGATATAAAGGAACGAAAGCGTGCCCTGTTCCGGTGCTTCTGCATTCAATGCCCCATCGGTGCATCGATGAAGGAGTGTGAACTGCTGCCACTGTGAACAGTTCAAAGCAGTTGACGTTGCTAAATTTTAAAGCAACTACTACTGTAGCTGTATGTCCTGTGGCTGTTGTTGTGTTGTTGTAGCGCTTCTCATCAACGTTTGGATGATTCGACCTCTGGTTATGTGGAACCTCCAGCATTTTTCGAGCATTCAGTCAGCTATTCGNNGCAAGGAATTAGAGGAGCTCAGACAGCAGGGTCTGCGCCCTGGTGCTGCCTTCCACGAAGCGGAGAAGCCACATGTCTGAGCGTGTGATTGCAAGTCGCATATGTTTCCCCCGTGGCGCTCGAGCTTGTGAGTGGAACCTGTGAGAGGTTGTTGGACTCAACTTTGCCAATGGCCAATCAGTTGGCGGAGGCCAGGCATCATGTATCGAAGGGCTTTGTGGGGCCTATTGTGGTTCTAGTGGACGGCTATCGCGCTGAAGCTTTTCAAGTGCATCCTGGCAAACCGCCGATTTTGCGAGCCGGTTCCGGAAGGACTGTCGGCTGCAAAGCAAAGTGTCAGGATGTTAAGTAAGACGAGCGAAGCACCTGTCCTCTCCATGGAGCCATAGACTCGCCCATGACCTTGCAGAGCAACAGCCAGGGCAGGCTCCCAGGCCTTCACGGACAGACGGCAGGTCCCTTCGGACCTTCGGATCTGTGTTTGTGTGCCAGGCTACAAGAACGGGGCCTATGCGCAAGAGGAGGAGCAAATATGAGCCAGAGCCAGATCTGTTTCGCCATGGATTTCAAGACTCCAGCAAATGTTTCTTAGGAAGCCCACGAAGCTCGCTTAACTAGCAGAGCCACTGGCTTTGTCTCAGCGCCGCAGGACTTGTGCCGTCGAATGCCCACGCTCTACACGTCGCTCTACAACGCGAAGAGGGAGCGGCACATGTTGAATGCATCCTGAATTGCCGTGATGTTCCGTCGTCCATGCTCTCAAGCCGCAGGAGGGGCACTACCCTTTCGGCCCAGCTACTTGCTCGAGTGCCAGTCCGGCAAGATACTCTGACGCAAAGGCCTCAGACAAAAAGGAAAATGGAGCCAGCCAGTCTTTCAGTATAGCCAGATGAGAGGCACTTATCTGTGAACTAGCCTCTGATACTCGAATAGCTTGACAGGGTGTTGGAGCACCCTCATGTCATCCGAGGTCCTGTGGACCCCGAAGGTTTGCATCGCACGCGCGGGTGAGGCGCATCAGTTCGGCGTCTGCAGATAGACTGATGCATGCAGCTGTCTGCGTCTCCGTCCCTGTTACCATTTGTGTCAAGTGTGTGCGTGTTTGCCAATCCCCGTGTCAGAGGATGTACAGTTCTGCGCAAGTGATAATGAGCCCTAAACCGCGAAAGATGCTCGGAAGGCTGCTTGCCCAATGATCCGGAAAAGCCCTTGCTCGCAGAACTACCCAAGTCCTGGCCCAAAGCCAGCCACCTCTGAGCACTCATCAGGGTTTAGGGGGTTTAGGGTTC